GTAGCCCAGGCTGGCCTCGAACTCACAGAGATCCGCCTGGCTCTGCCTCCCGAGTGCTGGGATTAAAGGCGTGCGCCACCACCGCCCGGCCCAATTGGAATTTTAATAAGTAGGTTCACAAGTACAGCCTAAATAACTGAAATATTCATGGACATTCTTTTTTCTATATTAATAAGCTGATTTTTGATGAGCCTCTTTGTAGTCATTTAAAACCCTCAGGGTAGCTCTTATAGATTATCTGCATATCTAAAAACTTCTAGCTATATTGTGAAGCTGTCAGCCAATTGACATGTACTTTTGCATGGTACGGATTTTTGAAAGCATGATGCAAACTCAAGATTCCTCAAAGCACAGGTCGCGATGACTCAAGAGCAGACTGTATTCTGTATTACGGCTTTGGAGACATATTCAGGATCAGCTCGATGGTGGTCATGGAGAATGTAGGACAGCAGAAGCTGTACGAGATGGTGTCATACTGCCAGAATATAAGCAAGTGAGCCACCTGCCTTTCTATAACGTGTCATGTGTTGCGTGGCAGTTGAGCACCTACTGAATATACTGAGTTAGCACAGAACAGCACTGTAAAGGCAGGTGCCTACGGTGGGAGAGACCTGGACCCGACTGCCTCCATCTAAGACAAGAGGCTCTGCCTGTCTTTGAGGTACTTCTTAAGGCCAGTCTGTTGAAGGTTATGAATGAAGCCTTTTTCCTTTGACTCTGGTGTGTAGCTGCCTATAGTGATTATGGAAAGGTGTGCAGGAACAGGTATTGGGGAGGGAAGTTCAGGCATGTCCATTCACCCTGGTGATGAGTCACTGAATAATCCAGGGTGGGGTCAAGTTTCTCATTAGGAAATACGGCACTCTCTGCTTACAGCGCTAAACTCCCTTGGGGCCCCAGGGCCTTGACCATCCTGTGTCTTAATACTTGTCACAAAAGAGCTCAAAAGTGTCCAAGTAGACAGTGACCTGCCAGTGATAAAAACTGTATTTGCTTTCCAACTAATGCTACAGTAGTCAAAAGAAAGGAGAAAGTGAAATTTTCTTTTTCACAGGAGTCCAGGAGACTCCTGGACTCCTATGAAGACTATTTTCAGATTTATCCTAAAATATAGGAAACTATTTCATCATCAAGAACAATTTCCCCAAAGTGAGACAGATAACTTCTGAAGTGATGGTTGTTAACACGCTGCTGGTAAAATAGGAGTCAACTGAGACGCCCTGGGTGGGTCCAGTTGTAGTCGAAGGGTCCTTAACTGGCAGAGGGAGTAAAGAGGTCCATTTGCTATGATGAGAGAAGCCTCAGCCCATACATAGTTGATGGCTCTGAAGGAAGAGGGGGCCAGGAACCAAGGAGTATAGGCAAGCTCTAGACAGTGTTAAAGGCTTCCAGAAACATCCAGCCTGCCACCACCTTGACTTTGACCCTGTGAGATTTTTTACACAGAGGTGAGATAACATACTTGTGTTATCCTAGTCACCACATCTGTGGGGCTGTTGTGACAGCAGTGGAGAGCCAGCAGGAGATGTGTTACTCCTAAGCAGATCCTGAAGGCTTGATTAGATGAGTAACTTCTCTCTCATGTGTCTGCAGGTGCCGTCGTGTGTTGATAGCACAGCATTTTGATGAAGTGTGGAATGCAGATGCCTGTAACAAAATGTGTGACAACTGCTGTAAAGACATTTGTAAGCTTGTTTTAGATTCTTAGAGGCTGAATGCAGTGAGGGCTGCATGTGGGAAATGTTAGACCCTCCAAATAGAATTATAAGACTGATTAGAATTTTCCAGATTCAAAAGTGACACAAATTTTTGAAACAAAGGTAAGTCAAATGTGTATGCACACATTTTATAGTGCTATACTGAGGACATCAAAGTTCTTAAGAAATAAGGAAAAGTTCCTCTGAATAGAAATACTGTAACATAAGAAAAAGCATGACAGTCTTGATACAATCCAGGAACTTGTATCCAGTGCTGTGTCTTAACTTCTGGTCTGTGCTGTGTTCTTGAAAAGCTGGACTGAGCAGTTCTCATGGGAGGGCCCTGGGTTCTGATGCTTCAGTGGGTGGAGTTCTCTGCAATTTTAACCTGACAGGTACAGACACTAATTTGCTAGTTCACAAGGCTATCTTATAGAGACCAAACTCATGTGAATCCATAAGTCAGTATGCCAGTCTTGTATTTGGGGACTTCTATCCAGAATGTTCCCTCGGAGGCCAGACTGGCTTTCAGAGTGTGGTGTAATGAGTAGCATCAGATGAGAAAGTGTAAAGAGCAGGCTTTTTTCTGCAGTGCACACCTCCCAGTGACGTCTGGCAGACACTTGTTACTGGAGTACACTGCAGCCTTTGATAACCAGGCCATTTTCTTTACATCACCATAATCCTACATGTGTTTTAGGAGTAGAATTTAGTCTGGTGATAAAGCCTAAGGAACACCCTGGTCTTCATTCTGAGCACATTAAAAGAGTGTGTGTAAAAGGCTCACAGTACTAATGAAGCCATTTTAACCAGAGGTGGCTTCTCGCCCTCACCTCTAGATCCCAGTTGCCCATGATGTCTCTATCTTTGCAGTGTTTGAGAAAAAGAATATAACAGAGCACTGCAGAGACCTGATCAAGATTCTGAAGCAGGCAGAGGCACTGAATGAAAAACTCACTCCACTGAAGCTCATTGATTCTTGGATGGGAAAGGGAGCAGCCAAGTTGAGAGTGGCTGGCATTGTCGCCCCGGCCCTTCCCCGAGAAGACCTGGAGAAAATCATCGCACATGCTCTCCTGCAGCAGTATCTCAAGTACACAGCCATTTATCTTCTGTGTCTTCATGTTTCTTCCTTTGTAACTGGAGCAGAGTCAACAGCTTTGCCATTATTTGATGTGAACTATTAAGCATTATAGAAAACAGGTTACCTAATAGTCTTAGACCTTGATCACTAAGTCAGAAACTTTAAAAACAACAACAACAACAAAATCAACCTATTTCCCTTAAGGATTATATTTGTGTTGTTCTAGTGTGTGTAGCTTAGAGTTTTCTTGCCTTGCCCACAGTCAGGACAAATCTTTGTCACCCGCCAGTCCCACAGCCGCTCAGACCCAACCAAGTAAACACAGAGACTTATATTGCTTACAAACTGTATGGCCGTGGCAGGCTTCTTGCTAACTGTTCTTATATCTTAAAATAATCCATTTCTATAAATCTATACCTTGCCACATGGCTCCTGGCTTACCGGCATCTTCACATGCTGTTTGTCATGGCAGCGGCTGGCAGTGTGTCTCTCCGCCTTCCTGTTCCCTTAATTCTCCTCTCTGTTAGTCCCGCCTACACTTCCTGCCTGGCCACTGGCCAATCAGTGTTTTATTTATTGACCAATCAGAGCACACATTTGACATACAGACCATCCCACAACAAGTGTGTTTTTTAAAAATTATATTCTTTTAAGTGTTTTCTGTGACTCCTTCAAGCTTTCTGCTTGGCTCTTTTCTTTTACAGAGAAGACTACAGTTTCACAGCTTATGCTACCATCTCATATCTGAAAGTTGGACCCAGAGCTAGTCTTCTCAGCAGCGAAGCCCATGCTGTCACTATGCAAATGAAGAGGTCCACACAGAGCAGCCTCAGGGTAACTGGCTGTTTATTTTCAATATGTGCCTAAAGCCTCTGGGGTGCTTTTCTGAAGTTCTTTACTAGGTTTGGTTGGACACAAATGATGTCAGTTTTCTTCCTGGGTTTTGATTTTGGACAGGTAAGTAGTGGAGGGCTTTAGACTAGCCCAGTGTGTGTGCGTAGGGGGGCTGCAACCATTTGTAATGTGAGGGCTCCCGTTTAAAGTCTACTTCCCTCATAACATTGGGTGGGATCTTCTGGTAAAGAAGTTTCTGCTGGGGTCAGCAAGATGGCTCAGTGGTAAAAGTCTATTCTGCTGTCCCTGAGAGCCCGAGCTACATCCCTGGAACGGATTCCTGTAAGCTAATGGAGGAGCTGCTCTACTCCTGTGAGCTGTCCTCTGACTTTCATGGTGTGCATATATGTACACAATAAGTAAGTAATAAAGGTTAAAAAAAATAAAGTCTGTGTTGTCCAGAGGTTGCAAGCCACTATTAAGTCCGTGTTCTCTTGTGGGTATTTCTTACAGCATCCCTGCTTTATTTAAGACAGTAGCCCATATTTGAATAGGAATTTGTTGATAGGAACCAGACCCTACAAAGAGCTGACTGATACACAGGGGTATTGTGAGACTGGTGAGCTCACGAGAAAGCTGAGCGTTCGTTAACAAGGTGCTGCTCTGTTATTCTGTCGCAGGCTGCGTCATCTGAAGCTTGTCAGTTGGAACATGCAGATGCGAAAGGGGAAGAAAAAAGTTCAGGTAACTTCCAGAAGTCTACCAACAGGCTTCAGCCATCTGGTTCTAAGAACACAGGAGCTAAGAAAAGAAAACTTGATGATGCCTGAGTGTTACTTAATCTTGCACAAAATAACTGCTTACGTGTTTATCATTTTTACAATCAACTGTTTAATTTTTGAAACAATTTTGTATTTTATACATATAAAGCTATATTTTCAGAGCTTATCTGAAGATGTGAGAATTCAGGACCATTTGAAAATTTGAGATCAGGAATTATATTTTACAGTGTACAATAATGAAAAATACATCTTTTATGCAAAGTTGTCTAAGTGTAATATATCTGAGATTAAGTCCACGCAACTGTCATAAACTCATTTGCCTTGCTATGACTGCTGTTGTTTTCTGATGTGACTCTCCTTTCAGCAATACTATGCTGACACGGGCGCACCCTTCCACGTTGGTGCCAATTTAAGCTGAGTAATGTAGTTGATTTCTGATTAGAAAAGCTGCTGTTATAATTCAGATAAAAACAGTTAAGTCATCAGTACCAAGTGTATCAGCAAGAAGATTCTGCACATTCTGAGTATATCAAGACAGCAAGCCTCCTGAAACCCTGGCCTTATTTTGATGTTCAGGCAAAGAAAGGATCTGGTACTCAAGTGTATCTGTGTGAGTCAAGGTTTATTTCAACTCTGTATTAGGAATGTTCATTTGCTAATTAGTCATTAAACTGAGTTCATCTTAAGAGTTTTCTTGAATCCTTCCCAACCATGCATTCTCAACTTGTGTGGTCATTTCACCTGGTGTAGTTGTTAGTTTCCCCAATTCTTTCTTTTCTCCTTATTTTGAACTTAGTATTTCTGAAGAAATTCTAATGTCAATCAAAATAATCCTCTATATCAATATTGGGATCTAGGAGATCTTCTCCGTATGATGAAAGGTCCATCTGGTTTAAAATTAAATTTTCAAATGTTTCCTCTAAGTCAGTTTCACCAATTAAGACAGCTCCCATCATGCGTCCATTCTGCATGACGACTTTGACATACTCTTGTCCTCTGGTGCACCTCAGCATTAATTCGTGATCTGAGCCTAGGCCTTGTGCATTGTATTTTCCCAGCAACACAACCTGCATGAAGATGAAAAGGTCATTTTTGGGGGTAGCTCCCTCCAACTCCCCACAAATAACGTACTGTCCAGTTATCTGGTTCATGTTAGCTTAGACAGAAAAACAAAACAAAATAAAACTATTCCGTACAGTTTCACAGTGGGAGGGGCCCAAAGAAAGCATTTGAATGGCATGAACATGCTCTGTACATAATACTGCCACACAGCCTAGGGTCACATTAAAAATATCATTAATATTTTAACATTAAAAGTAGAACACTGGGTGGCGGTGGTGCATGCCTTTAATCCCAGCACTCGGGAGGCAGAGCCAGGTGAATCTCTGAGTTTGAGGCCAGCCTGGTCTACAGAGTGAAATCCAGGACAGGTACCAAAACTACAAGGAGAAACCCTGTCTTGAAAAAAAACAAAAAATCAAACAAAAAAAGAAGACACTGTTCAGGGGGCTGGAGAGATGGCTCAGAGGTTAAGAGCACTGGTTGCTCTTCCAGAGGTCCTGAGTTCAATTCCCAGCAACCACATGGTGGCTCACAACCATCTGTAATGAGATCTGGTACCCTCTTCTGGCCTGCAGAGATATGTGCAGATGGAACACTGTATACATAATAAATAAATAAATCTTAAAAAAAAATGTTAGAGGTGTCTAAAAAGCACACACAAACACACACACACACACAAAGTGAATCACATTTTCCTGGAGTCATGGCTTAAAGATTTAATATGCAACTGAATCAGACCCTTCCTCAGACTTGTAGGTGTGTTTTCTGTTAAGTCTAGTTTAGGAAAGAGGAGACCTGTCTCAGAATGAAGAGAACTAAAGAAGGGAACCACCATCTGTCAGAGCTCCTGGTTCTTTCTTGGTGTGCTTGTGTCATGGATGTGCAGGTGCCCATGGGGGCCAGAAGAGGGTGTTAGACCCCTGGAACTGGAGGTGTAGGTGGCTGTGAGCTGTCTAATGTGGGAGCAGAGGCCTGAACTCAAATCCTCTCAAGGTTAGCAATAACTGCTGAGCCATTTTTCCAGTCCCCCAAAATATCATTTTTGATAACTTAGTTTAAACCATAAATAATTACTTGAGAAAAGAGCTACAGTTGCCATACTTTCAAGCAAAAAAGGTTTTCATTCCGTTAACCATCTTACCTTATAGTTAAAAAATTTTGTGACATGAGCAAACAGTTCAAAGCTGAAATCCATGTCGATAGAGTGTCCCAAACTAGCTGCAGCCATGCACTTGGCTGCATACCATCCCATCTGCCGTGCTTGGGTCCATAGTCTCATCTGAAATAGTGGGAAATGGTACTTTATATTACTTCTGGTTATCATCTGAATAAAAAATACCATCCATGTATATGCATGTGTATGGGCATATTTGTGAGCATAAATTTGAGTGCACACATGCCATGAGCATATATGAATGTCAGTGGACACCTTGAGACCATCATTGCATTCCACTGTTTGAGACAGGGTCTGCTTTGGCCCTCTCAGTAGGAGTGCTGGGTTATAGTAGCTTATGGTGGCTCCAGTTTTTACATGGGTTCTGGCCTTCACACTCATGTAGCAAGAGCTTTTATACCCACTTCACACTTCATCTTCCCTATAGTTTCAATCTTATAGATTCCCAAGTGTAACTTCAAGCTGGACTTTGTTCCAGCTAGTGTTATCTTCAGTGGTCACCAGTGAACACCAGTCAACATGGTACATGCTAATTCTAAATTAGTGTATCAGACATGAAGGGATGATACCCAACTGTATGTTTGAATACAATATCCGTTAAATATAAGGAAATATTTTAATCTTACAAGGTGGGAACAAAGTGTTATCAGTCCCTGCTCCAAACTCTGGCCCATTTTCCAGTGCCTGCACTTCTCAGCACCAGACAGTGATGGCCTCTGAGCTGATTCTGGTCAGACAGACACAGATTCTTGGATGTCACCTCAGATTCTTTATGGCAGCACTCGTCTGTCCTTTCTTAGGTTCTCATTACATTTCTACAGAGTAGCCTTAGGAGTCACAGGAGAGTAAAGTACTAATTTATTTACTTATTTTACTTTTCTGATCTTCAGTTTCTTCACCTGAAATAAACAGTTAACTCTGCCCGTGGCTGTTAGGAGAACAGGCTGGCTTTTTAAGTGACTGGTTTCCCTCATCTGCCCCTCTGGGAATGTGTGCCTAATGCTGACTTTCAGTACAAATCGCAGCTGCAGCATGAGTTCTCAGCATGTGTACAAGAGTTTTTACTTGAATTCAGTCTCTGTAAGAAGGTTTGAGAAGTAAAGAGTCTGCTGCAGAGTAAACAGCATGGCAACAGCCAGAGTGGCAGCAGAAGCAGCCTGCAATGCCACACCCTGGAACTACCTAGTCCAACTCCTGATACTGCAACCCGACACCATCTCTAGAGTTCACACTGGGGAACTGAGCAAGAACATGGTAATACTTAATTTACAGTTCCTGCCAGGCCATATCAGAGCCATCCTGGGTACAGGCCTGTTGGCTGTGGGTTGGATACACCTGACAGGAGTTCATTTGAACCAGAAACTCCCTTAAGTCTGCACTGTGGATGATGTAAAGCTAATTAAGTGTTTTTCTTGCAAATTAGAATGTGGAACTGTTAAATTCACTCAGAATAAGGAATATCTGCTTATTTTGAGCTGTTGTTCCCTTGTATCAGATTATGGCATAAATTAAAGATACAATTTGTCCTGGGGGGGGGGGGGAAGCAGAAAAGAAAAGGTACACCCACAGCTCTTTCTAAATTAAAAACATTTCAGTCTACTATAATAGTAAGTGACTTTAAAGCAGGAATCCAGTTGCTCATCTGCAAATCAGCAGAGATGGCCTCCAACTTAAAGTAGGAAAGCTGGAACAGAAAACTGGATTCATTGGTAGCAACTGTTTTATTTTCACATGGAATCTGACAGACACATGGTCAGAGGTGCAGGCTTACCTGCTGCCAGACTGGGCTTGGCTGCCAGCATGCAGTGCAGATGTCTCCAGCAGCATAGATATCAGGAAGTGATGTGCGCATCTGGTCATCCACTTTCAAGCCGCCATCTTCTCCTAGATCAAACTAAACAGTTTATTAGCATAAGGATGACAAAACATGAAGTGACTTTTCATTCTAATGAGCAAGTCAAACCTGTACGTGTTACCCAAGCTCTGATCAGAAAGATAAAAGCAGCTACAGAGTGTAGACACCTGACCAGACTGTCCAGGGATTCAGTTCCTACCCAACAAACTCAAAATCCCAGAATTTTAGTATCAGAAATACCCAATAGTCATATTTACCCCAACCCTAATCAGAACATTCTTTATTTAACACTTCTAATGTTAAGATGATAATGTCACATAACAATCTGTAAGATTTACTCTTGAGAACTCACTACAGGTCAGTCTCTCACCAACCTTTAGATAAACAAATTGGACATTATGTCTCTAGACGATACTTAAGCTGATTTTAAGTGCTTAGGGATGCTAAGTAGAAGAAAATACTGTGACTAGGTCAGACGTAAGCCACAGTGTTGCTGCCATCTTAGATTACAGTTTACTAAAATGATGACTGTTTGAAAAGCAGACATGATAAAGATTAGGAAGTGGATAGAATTCACCTTACATTGTTTCCGAGGAGAAAAGGGTATACATTTGGTGTGACGCCCGTAGCACTAACAAGGAAATCACAGCCGTATATTTTCCCATTGGTTAGTTCCACATACACAGGCCACATTTCTTTAAAGAAAAAGAAGTAGTCAACTCTCAAGTGTCATCTCTAGCAGTTATCCTCAATATCATGTGAATGTAACAAACAGAAAAGGCAGGTGGTTAGAACGTCTCCTGATTTCAGAAAGTCCTCTGGCTGGGACAACTGAGCGCAATGACATTGTTTTGTGCTTGGCAGCTTCAAAAGCATGATACTCTAACAGGGACTAAACATTGTCCTTTGGGTGTGGGCACAGACATTAGTAGTAAATTTAAACTGATGATCACTATCTAAATTACTTGCGAAGCAATTTGATTAATACTTCATGTCACTCAGCATTTAATCCCGCTCTTCTTGATGTTTCTCCTCACTGTCCACAGTCCCAACTTTACCAGTCTTTTTCCTACAAAAAACTGGAAGATTCCAGAACATTAGCTGCCTGACTGCAGTGTTGATAAGTCACAGGACTGCGTGTCTGGGGAGTAGTTTTCAAGTGGTAGAGAATGAGACCAGGTACCTACACTTAACACAACACTCATATCTAGAAGTCGTGTTACTTACAGTTGTGTTACCTAACAGCCTGTTACGTATACTCCTGTCATTGTGAAAGCTTCTGTTTCCTTTGATCTGTGAAATGCTGACTGGTCACTGGCTTGGGTTATATTGGTCCAAATACTGTGAACTCAAGTAAAATGGAAAGCCTCATAACATGGAATTTACTAGAAAATTTACCCAAGAGTAGTGAAATGAGGGCCTGAGGTTACTGATAGTTTTTTGACCAAATTTTATATGAAAATGTGAAGTTTAAAGTATAATATAGCACCAGGCGGTGGTGGCACACACCTTTAATCCCAGAACTCGGGAGGCAGAGGCAGGCAGATCTCTGTGAGTTCAAGGCCATCCTGGTCTACAGAGCAAATTCCAAGATAGCCCAGGCCACACAGAGAAACTCTGTCTCAAAAAATTAAAAAAAATAAAAGGTAAAATAAAATAAATATATAATAATAGCACAATTAGTTTAAGGAGTAATATTTTCCCTTTTACCTTTATCGACTGTAACTGACTTATGTTGATCCTTTGGAAAAGCCAACGGCTTTTTCTCCATAATCCTAAACTCCTCTTGAAGGTAGATTTTCTTTACTTCACATCTGGTTTCGATGTGAATATTGTGTGAAAACTGGAAGCAAAATAAATACTGGTCAGCACAACCCAGACAGTGCCTGTGGAGACACTGATATTGTCTAAATACAGTATAAATACAGCATATTGGTGTTCCCAAATAAGCCTCTCAGAGTCTGTTTAACAGGAGTGAGCAGAATGGAAGAGGAGCCTGGGAAGTCACAGAGCTCTACACATTTAATACAGCGTGACAAACCCACCAAGCAGGCCGCAGGCTGCAGTGTTCACCCAAGGACTCTTAAAACCCAGCGTGCTAAAACTGCAACCTTACAAGTCCCAGGAACTCTGGAGGAAGTGATTCATGTCATTTCTATCCCCGATTAGATACCATTTAGCCAGTTACCCTTCCACCCACCAAAACCTGAAAAAGTTTCAAAGAAAATAGACATATTTATATTCTTGGAATATTTGAATGACAGCTTTTTTGTAACTTAAAAAAATTAAAGTATCTATTAAGATAAGTGAAAGCAAGCTATCTGCTCATTCAATTAAATTATGAAATATTTGACTCCACCTAATAACCTTCGTAAGGGCACTGCAGAAGGGTTCTTAGCAGAAGACTGAGACCCGCGGTTTATTTCTGTAGTCTGCATGTAGACGTCTCCTGCTCTGCAGTTAGAAAGAGGGCTGGATATCTGTTTACACAAATTTCATATTCACTATTTTGGGTGGGTATAGTGATATTTTATTTGTGCTGAAATGTGATTTTATTTGTATGTTAATAAATAAAGTTGCCTGGGGACCAGAGCTAAAAGCAAGCCATTAAGCAGAAGGGCGGTGGTGGCACACGCCCTTAATCCCGATCACATGGCAGCCAGTCTCTGTGTTTTTCAAGGACACAGCCAAGCGGTGACCCTAACCTTTAACCCCAGTACGAACCATAGAGATCTGGAGGTCTGTATAGACAGGTAGTGTCAAGGAAATCATGTGGTTGGGTTTAGAGCCAATGAGAAGGTAGAACAGAAAGGCAATAAAAAGACGGGTCACACAGGAGAAGGTCTCTCTCTCTCTCTCTCTCTCTCTCTCAGGGGAAGAGACGGCAGCGACTGGTAAGCTAAAGGGAGTCTTGGGCTTCACTAGTGCTCTGATCTCTGGCTCTGCATTTCTTATTTTCTAAGACCGTTTAGAATTTCATCTTCACGTAGGCATCTGGGCCAGTGGCTTTGAAGACCTTTCCTGCATGGTCGACTTAAAGTCAAGTGACCCAGAGGTTTAGTGTTTGGGTGGGTTTCATTGGTTTATGGAAACCTACCTCTTCTGTTCCTTTCAGATCCAAGCCTCCGTGCCAGTCTGGTCCGAGGGCACTGCCCACATTATCAGCTTTAGCTTTGGTTCTGTTTTCCCTTTTTGCTCCTAAGAAATGAACTCAGATGATTTTACAATGGCTGGGCAGAGAACCAGTTACCCCTGAAGCCTTTGGGCAATGTCCTGAGTCACATGCAGACATGCAGCATGGTGGCACCATCTCTGGATTAGCTGCTTTGTTCATTGAGTGTTCTGTGACAGCGATAGAATGGGTGACCTTTCACCTATACATTGTCTGTAAACACCCAGTGTGTTACTGTTACACACTTGCTAATTTAAGAGTAGGAAAATTAGCTATTAGAGTCTAAATTCTGTCAATTTGTAGCACCTCCAACACTTAGAAAATTCACTTTGATTTTATGAACCAAAACCTTCTTTGAAGGCTATTAAATGTAAACTAATGAGTACAGTTCTCAGTGGATTTTGCAGAAGTTATTATTGGGCACTGCTCAGTTGTAGCAACTGTTTGCCAAGATGCAAATGGGCTGGTAAATTTACTTAATTTAAAATTCCCATGTGTATTGCATATATATTTTCTATTTTTAATTAACTTTAAAAAAAAACTGTTCAGATTTTGTTTTGCTTTGAAACTGGGTCTTTGTAGCCCTGGCTGGCCTAAAACTCACAGAGGGCCTGCTACTGACTCGTGTGCGAGATTCAAGGCGGGTGCCACCATGCCATTTTTACATTTTTTTCATGTGTGTAGATGTTTTGCCTGCATGTCTGTCTGTCTACCACTTGTGCTCTTGGTCCCATTGGAGACCCGAAGGGGGTGCTGGATACCTTGGAACTAGAGTTATGTTGTGGGCTTCTTTGTGGGTGCTGGGAATCAAACTTGGATCTTCTGAAAGAGCAGTAGTGTAGCTGAACGTTTATCTGTGTCCTGCCTGGCCAGTGATTGCAACAAATCTCTCCCACTCGTGTCCCCCAAGTAAGCACACAGAGGCTTATATTAATTATGAACTGTATGGCCATTAGCTCAGGCTTATTACTGACTAGCTCTTACAGTTAAATTATTCCATAATTCTTATCTGTGTTTAGCCACGTGACTTGTTACCTTTTTTCAGTTCTGCCTTGACATCTTGCTTCCTCTGTGTCTGGCTGGCGACTCCTGACTCTGCTCTTCCTCTTCTCTGCATTCCTTTAGTCTGCTCGCCCCGCCTATACTTCCTGCCTGGCTACTGGCCAATCAATGTTTTATTAAACCAGTGTACAACAGCATTATCCCACAGCACAGTAGGTATTCTTAACTACTGAACCATCTCTCCAGCCCCCATGTATTTTCTAATCTAAAAATTTCATAAAAAGATACAGAAGTAAATACCCATATTCTTGCCCGGTAAATACTTTTTACTGAATTTACTTATAGTTAAAAAATAGTTTTAGCCATGAATGAAACAAGCCAGATACTGCACTTACCTTCAACTGTATATATGGTTCTTCTATGTGCAATTTTAGCCTCTGATTTTTCAGACATGAGCTTGGAAGTCAAAAACTCTGCCGCGCCTGCGTCAAAGAAAGTATTCCCAATGGCTTTATCCTTTATGGCCCAAATCACTTCACAGCCTTCAATTTCATACCTAGGAGGAATGTTACAGTTTCCTATAGGAAAGTCAAGGGAAAAAAGGTAACAATTGTCCTGTGCAGCAGAAATAAAGTACACGGGCTATAAAGAGGGGTGTATGGTAATGTTTTATTTGTGCTGAAATGTGATTTTATTTGTATGTTAATAAATAAAGTTGCCTAGGGATCAGAGCTAAGAGCAAGCCATTAAGCAGAAGTCTGGTAGTGGTAGCACATGCCCTTAAGCTGATCACGTGTCAGGCAAAGTCTCTGTGTGTTCAAGGACACAGCCAGCATGGTGACACATGCCTTTAATCCCAGTACGAACCATAGAGACCTGGAGGTCTATATAGACAGGCAGTGGCGAGGAAGTCATGTGGTTGGGTTTAGAGTCAATGAGAAGGCAAAACAGAAAGGCAATAAAAACACAGGACACAGGAAGAAGGTCTCTCTTTCAGGGGAAGGACGGCAGCAAGTGGTAAGATAAGGTGGTCTTAGCTCTTGGCTTTTAACTTTTTTTTTTTTGGTTTTTAGAGACAAGGTTTCTCTGTGTAGCTCTGTACCTTTCCTGGAGCTCTCTTGGTAGCCCAGGCTGGCCTCGAACTCAGAGATCTGCCTGGCTCTGCCTCCCTAGTGCTGGGATTAAAGGCGTGCGCCACCAACACCCAGCGGCTTTTAACTCTTATTTTGGCTCTGTTTCTTATTTAATGAGACTGTTTAGAATTTTATCTACAGGGGTGTAGTTCAATTTAAGGATAGTAAGAGTTGACATACTAAAGCAAGTTTATCCACTTTACTGAAAGAATCCAGTGATGACATGGACTGAATATCACATAACAAGTATCACAATGACTGTCCTTTCAGTGGGCAACACAGCCATATAAATGTGCTCCAGGGGTTCTAGGGGTAACCAAGTTTATCTGTCTGTGATAGAAGCAGTAATGGATGTATATATGTATGTATGGATAGATGTATGTATGTATGGATAGATGGACAGACAAAAGGATGATATGACCTAACAGCACTGAAAACACTGCTTCATGTGTGTTTTCTAGATGCTCATAATAATAAGGCTGGAAGGAGGTTTGCAGGCTAACATCTTCATGCAGTTGTAAAGAACTATCACCTGCTTTAAATTCTCTCACTTAAACCATCTAGCCAGAGAGATCCAGTTCAGAAAAAGGATCTGAGGGAAAAACACTGGCCTTGGTAATGCAAGCCGGCTTCTCTCACCATTCACCATCTAACCAAGCTCCCGGGACGTTATTTATCTAGTTTAGACAGTAAGAATGCTGTGTATATTCCACTCACTCCCTGATGGCCATCATAATTCAGGTAATCATGAAATTGTGCAGATGACTTTCTGCTATTTAATAAACTGTTAGGGCAAAACTAATGTATATGTGGACAACTGTAGACAAATAGGATATGCAGCCCTCCTACCATAGGACACTTGGATTTTACAACAATAGAGTATAATTAATGTATTTTTCAACACTTTAAAACTTTCTTTACCCTTGTATGTGCATTATGTATGTGGGTGCATGTGTCGTAGCATGCATATGGAGCTTGGGACAACTTTATGGAGTCCGTTCTTTTTAAAATTTGTATTGTTGTGTGTCTGTGTGTAAGCACATGTACCATGGTGTGTATGTGTGTAAGCACATGTACCATGGTGTGTATGTGGAGGTCAGAGGACAACACTGGAGTTAGCTCTCCCACCTGTATATGGATGGGTCTGGGCTTGGACTGAGGTCATCAAGCTTGCATTTCACCTGCTGGGCCTTCTTGCCACCCCGTGTTTCCTACTGTTATGGTCTAAAGTACTGCTATCTTTATTTATAGGCTGGCAGGATGACTTTTCAAGACAAATCAGTAGCCAGATGATAGATAGACAAAGGTTTAGTGCATGTGACTCCACAATACCTGAAAGTCACACATTCTGATATATAGGTAAAATTTCATTGCCCCATTCAGGCCAACAAACATTCATAGACCCTGAGTTTCTGATTACTGGGAGTACATTTGATTTGGTGCTACTCAGGTTACACTGCATTGCTCATCAGAAGAAAGCAGAGTACATACATGTAGGTAACACGTTTCATATTTCACTTACTTTTAAGCATGGTTATGAAATGCTTTCCTTTTTATAATTTGGAAATTTCTTTGTATTTCATTCATACCTCTAGAAGTAATGTCACAGCATCTAACAGTCATTGTGGTATAACATCCCCATGACTGACTAGCAGGCCACATTACCTATGTAATCAGGAGAGACTTCTGTGCTAGCTCTCCCTCAAGAGCACCCACTAATCCACTCCCCATAATGTTAACAGTGCTCTCAGCAAGATACCAAAGCTTGGTGACATCATCACACAGGGAGATATTTCCACTTTAGAAACCATTCTAAAGAAAGTTATAGGCATTATGACATGACTTTATGAAAATTATTTATTGTGTGTCTTTGGAAGGGAAAGCATCAAACTGCCTTCGGAGATTGGCAGGGGCAGTAACTGAGATAAAGGAGCACTGAGGGGACAGAGCCTCTGCATCATGGAATGGCACAGAACAGAAGATCTGACTGCCACTTTTCGTGAGTGATGACTCGGATCACAGAATCAGAAGTAGCATGGTAAGAGACCTCCTCCAGCTATCAGAGTTTGCCAAACACAAAGCTGTAAGTTTACTCAAGAAATAATCACCAGTCTCCAAAGGAAATCAGGAAAGAGTTAGATGCTATGAGACTTTGAACAAGAAAAAGATTTCCAGTGTAAATTCTAGTAACGACATCCCACAGGATACTTCTGGAAGTAGCATATGTGATCCCCCTTCACCTCCACCCAGCCCAGCTTTTGGGTGCACTCTAGTTTCCCTGCATTTCCCCATACAGTACCACAACTGTCACAGTCACCTGAGGACTGCCACCCTGTACTCAGGTGCCCAGTGGGGTGGGTGTTCCCTAAAGGACAGGTAAACCAGGCTGGGAGTTGGAATGGATTTCTTGAGCACTTGCAAATTCCTAGTTTTGATTCAGATTTGTTTTAATTCCAAGTTGGTTTGGACCAAACTTTCTCGCATAAAAACCACTCACTCTTCCTTGTCAGTCATGGCTACAGACAAAACTCATAGGGAAAGTGAGTCAGTGTCATGCAGCTTACAGGGGAACATGTCTCAATGTTTACTGAACTTGAAGTATCTTAGGATGAAAACATCTGAATTAATGTGTTCTCATTTCTCCAAACCAAAAATCAAGAGCTTGGAATAACACACATCCTAATCAGCAGGACTAATAGTGGGTTTTGTCAGCCAAACAGGTGATGTATGAGTGAAGCATGGTAAGTAAAAATGGTGACTAGAAATTGCTAACAGTATGCATATGTAGATTATTAAACAGTACACACTTATAGAACACATCATGAGTCAGACCAACCCAGGTGAAACACATCCTAGACCCTGTATATTGAGAGGAATATTTCTGCAACTTGGGTTATACAAGAGCTAAATAGTAAACTGGGTTTTCTCTTTGAAAATGTATGGGAAAGCATCTATAGTTCTCTTGAGTTTTAAGATGTGTTTCTTATCTGCCAATAATCATACAATCTCAGAGTATCCTTTAGTATTAGAGACACACTTACACCAGCTCAAGTGCAATGCCACCATTCCCGACAATCATTACTCTCTTGGCTTTTGCAAGCTGTTTCTGAAATTCCTGTGTTAGGAAGAAACAATGGGATAGCATTTTGACAGAGTAGATTCATCATTGATAATATTCAAAACATGGGCATTTTTCAGAGTTTACAGGGGAACAACAAAATAAAACTTACTCCCCTGTGCCAGGACAGTCCCTTCCAGTTAGCATTATGGCCTCCCATCATGCTCCCCACTGGCCATGACCGAAGCATCTCTTGCCTTTGTGTCATCTCAGCAAGAGATACTGTCTGGATCACCACATGCCTCGTGTGTGACTGAATCCATTACTGTCAGCTGGCAGGCTCGATTAGAGGCTTTCCTGGAGTCCCTTACTTCCTACAGTCTCAGGACTGAGAATCAGGGCACATAGATTAGGAGTCGCTGCCTTAGCAGTTCCTAACAAGACGACCTGGGATGAATTACTTAACCTTCTATGTCTCATGGTGTCCACTACAAAAAGTCACCGTATCTCCTAGTGTTTGTTTAAGGATGATGGGACATGACTATACAAAGCTTAAGAGTAGCAGGGACAGAATAATTTCTAACATTAATTGAAGAAATGTTACCATTTTAGGACAATTAATGCCTCTTGCACCACCTTCCCTCATGATTAAGATGAGCTCAGAGTAGTCTATGGCCTTCTGGGACTTCACAAGTACAGGTGTCCTTGCTTTAGAATGACTTCAGAACAAAGAATTCATTCCTCCTTTCTAAGTAACCACCACCATTAAGTGCACTTAAAAACACAAATCACTGATTAAAACTGACTTAGAATGCTACAAGGCAAAACCTTGAAGTTGTAATTTGTCTCTCATCAAGGGTCAGGCCTTAAGAAGGCTCTATAAAGAGCAGGGCCACAGAGATGAAAAGCACACATTTAAACCATACTCAGGGTACACTGAGTAGTTACCCTAGAATAACCATACTCGGGATGCACTGAGTAGTTAGTTACCCTAGAATAACCATGCTTGGGGTATACTGAGTAGTTATCCAAGAATAACCATACACAGGAAACCTGAGCAGTTACCCTAGAATGATCATACTTGGGGACCAGAGTTGTTAGTTACCTTAGAGTAAGGAAATCATTCCTTTCTCATCCTCCCCTAACTGCAGCATGAGATCTGTACTCTACACAATGAATAGAGAAACATTAACATAAATCCCCCTTTGAACACCATCTGTATGCACCCCAATTAATATGACACGCCTTCCCTTCAGCCATGCAGCTGCCTTTGTAGCAGGGTTTCCTGGGAGTCACAAGGAATGTCCTGAGGAGCCAGTGAGTTCCTGAACTAGAAGGCTGAGCTGAAACAATCACAAGCATGCTCTGGTAAAGTAAGCTTAATTGTTCATAAGAAGCTACTGAGCTCTGCTAAAGTTTCCTCTAAATTCCCAAGGAATTAAGACAACAGCAGCCTGGAGAAAATCGTTACCCACTTTAAAGAATATGGATCACATAAATGCAATGTAATCACATCCTTGCTGGGTGTGGAGATGAAACCAGTAAGCTTCTTGGTAACAAAGGGGTGATAAATCCTGAAACAGTTCAAAAAGAAGGTGTGCCATGCTGCATGGAAGGAAGTGTAGCTTACTGGGAGGGTTTGCTTGTGACAGGGCACAGCAACAAGCCCAGTAAGTTCTGGGATCCCATCCACAGACATCTTGCAATTATTATTATTATTATTATTATTATTATTACTATTATTTTCTGGGGAATTACTGGGAAATCTCAGTTTGTTTTACTTTGGGAAAATGACTGTTACAATGTTTAGTTGCAAATCTTATATTCCCAATACAGAATGATGAACATGTGTTGATATAAAGTATAATGCCCAGCACTGTCATTGTATCTTTGAGTGTCAGAGCCAAAAGAACAGGGTGTCAGTTTTAGTTAAAACCATATAATCATTAGCCAAAGTGAAGCTGGCAATAGTAAAACATAACCATTCTGTGGCCTCTGAGTGATGGGTCAGAACCACCTTTCTTTGTGACACTGTAGGAGTTAATGGTCAGTGAACACTTTCATTCACAAGAGAACCCCACCTTCCCCTTCCACAGACCCACCCTTACGACATTACCTGAGCACTGTCAGTATCACGGATTCCTAATACATACGGATTTCCCTCACAGATCAACTTCGGCTTAGCTCCGGCACACAGACAGAGTTTCTTATACACATGCTGATGCCCGTCTTCTGTGTAGATGCACTGTGAACATAGGGCAAGAAAGGCAGAAGCAAATGGCTGAGACAAAAGCAAAACACGGGGGCGGTCCATGCTCAGTTACAAGGGGAGGCTACATTCTCTAGTGTAATGAGCATCGGTCAAAATCCATGTGGAGAATCTGATGGAAACTAGCTTTCCTCCTCTGAAACAAAGAGGTTTGTAGTAACAGAATCTCAGGATTATGCTGACTTCAAATTAAAATGCTAATTTTTTTTTTTTGAGACAAGCTTCAATGAATGAATATATATATATACATATATATACACACACACATTTGTATTTATATTTATATATATATATATATCTTGCAGGAAGTTACTAGAAGACCTTGTGATTCTAACCATATCATACCTTAATAATCCTAACATTTGTTATGGGTTCAAATGAGCAGTACATGTTGAAGTTATAATTTGTCTTTTTTAAAATAAAATATTAGATGTATTAAAAAACCAATAGCTTTGCTAGTATTTTCTCACTCTACTAGTGAAGATTTTACATGTGTGCACTTAAAAAAAAATGCTTTTGTTGTGTTTTTGAGACAGGTTCTCATACAGACCAAGTTGGCCTCTACTTTCCTGTGTCTGAGGATGGCCTTAAAGTCCTCATTTTCCTCTCCCCTCCAAAGTGCTCGAATCACAGGCGCACCAGGCTTGGACACAGAGTTGTTTTAATCCAAATGAAAAACATGCTAAGTTTGAAAACTAACACATTCTGGCTTTAAAGTTATTTTTATTAATTTTATCAACACCAGTGAGTCTAAAATTACATAGTAAATCTGCTGATTTTGTTCCTTAATGTGGAATGAAAATCCACATATAACTTTAGAAAGTGAATAACTAATAAGCACTCACCACTGTGAAAACGTGGACTATGAATGGGTTCACATCTGTGCCAGATGTGTGATTTGTAGAGCCTGGCAGTCACAGCACTCACTTCACACTGAGGCTTTTTTCACCCACAGTACTTTTCACAAAAACATAACCCAGTAATCCAACACAGTGTAATTCACACAGAAACTTCTTACCAGTCTCCCTTCAGAATCTGGTCAGAATTGGTCTGACAAACAGAAGGCAGGGGCACTGACCAAGGTTTGAACTAATACACATTGAGATGGTTTAAAACACTAAACCTTTTTACTAGCTGTGGCTAACTTTCTGGACATAGCCAAGGAAGCCCAAGCTGGCATGGCGGTGACACATCTGTTGTCTCAGCACTGAGTAGTGAGGCAAGAGAATCAGGAGTTCAAGGACTGCTTGAGCTACATGAGACCAAAGCCATCATTCCTATACATCAACAGCTGCCATACAAGAGGTGAAGATCAGAATCACACTTGAGATGCTTTTGGGTGTCACTGGGAGATGTTCTGCTTTGTAAGTGCCCTGTTTACTTCACCTTTGAGAGCTCACTTCATTTGTAAAACTAACTGAGCCTGGACTCTGTTCTACTGTGGTAGTTTGAATATAATTCGCTCCCATAAGTTCATAGTGAGTAGCACTATTGGGAGGTGTGGCTTTGTTGGAATAGGCCTGGCCTTGTTGGAGGAAGTGTGTCACTGTGGGGGTGGGCTTTGAGGTCTCCTTTGCTCAAGCTATGCTCAGTGTGGTACACAGTTGTTTCTGTTGTCTGTGGATCCAGATATAGCACTCTCAGCTCCTTCTTCAGCACCACGTCTGCCTGCATGCCGCCATGTCCTACCATGACAATAATGGACTAAATCTCTGAACTGAATTAAGGAGTTTCTGTGGTCATGATGTCTCTCACAGCAACAGAAACCCTAACTAAGACATCTACCATAACAAGGAATCCTTCCTGTGATTTCGAACTCAGGTTCTTTTTCATGAAGAAGGCACTTTCCCTTTGTTTGTAGTGAATTGTGTTTTACTTGTAACTCTGAACTTACAGAAACAACTCCAAATCTCTCTCCATCCTTCCTAAAGCTCACTGAGGAGACAGCATCCCTGAGACCCCTCACCTGCTCTCACGTGTTAGGGGAACAACATCTGGAGGATTTTGTGGACTAGCTCAAACCTGGAACATCTTCCAATTATACTGTCCCTGGCAACCAGGCCCTACATCATTTTGAGCAACTACAAGCAGGCTGTAATTGGTTGTTGGCCAAGTACTACTTGCTCCACCTCAGTTTATCCTCAACATTGTTGTTAGACATATCTTACTTAAAATACTGTATTGTCCATACATCTACAATTTCATATGACCATACACCTGACATCACTCAACCTTATTTATTTATTCTTGCTTACTAGTCTCCTTTTCCACACCCTGATCCTTTTGATTAATCCCTCATCGTCCCTTTCCTTTCTTGGGGTCTGCAGTTCTTAGAATGTCCTTTTCTACCTGTAAAGCTCTTACCATCTTTAAAAAAACCAACTTCAAGATGTCATTCCCTCTGTGAAATCTTACTAGATCTCAGCATCCAAGCTTTGATGGTAATTTCATGACTTTACCCTTTGCACACTGTTATAATCACACACTATTAATGCCTACACTCCACATGACACTGACTACTCACTCACAGGAGCAAGTGTGATATTCCTGCCGTATACCACCGTATACCAGTACCTTGTGCTGTGCCCAGGACACAGTGGGCCTTCTCTAACTACCAACAGAGCCTGCAGTGCCACACTACCTGATCATAGACTTTTCCCAGAGGGTAAACTTCCTTTTTTTGTTTTTTATTAAGAGATTTTCTATTCGTTTTACATATCAACCACGGATTCCCCTGTTCTCCCTCCTCCCACCCCCCAGCCTTCCCCTCCCAACCTACCCCCTATTCCCACCTCCTCCAAGGTAAGGTCTTCTCTGGGGAGTCATCAGAGCCTGGTACATTCAGTTGAGGCAGGTCCAATCCCCTCCTCCTTGCACCAAGGCTGAGCAAAGTGTCCCAGCATAGGCCCCAGGTTCCAAACAGCCAGCTCATACACTAAGGACAGGTCCTGGTCTCACTGCCTGGGGGTCCCCTAAACAATTCAAGCTAAACAACTGTCCCAGAGGGTAAACTTTCTAACAATGCGGATCGATGCCACTAGCCCATACAATTTAGGCTTAAACAATAGTGATGACAGAGGTATGCTTAAAAGAGGGGCAAAACCTGGGACTTAACATTAGAAAAGATACCATTTAACAAGAAAAAGTCTTACATGTTCTTCACTCTTGAGCTGTTTTACTCCAGATTCTATGACCTTAATGTTAGGAAAGCGATTTTCCAGCACAGTGCTTGGCTGTTCTTCAACTTCAAATTCTTCCAATACTTTAGAAACCTTTAAGAGATCAAACAGACTTATAAATGCACATTTTAAGAAGGTTATTTCCTTCGTCTTATACAGTACTGTTTCATGCTCACAAATAAGATTAGCCCACTGCATTGCTGTGGTTTGAGCGCTTATGTCCCTCAAAGACTCACAAGTTAAAGGCCTGGTAGTCTCTCTAGGAGGTGGAGCCTCATGCAGAGAAGTCAGGCCCCTGGAAGGGGGAATTGCAACCTGGGTGCCTCCTCTCTGGCCCCAGTCTATATGAAGTAGGCAGCTCTGTGTTACCACACATTTCAGCTGTGACACTCTGCCTTCCCCCAGTCTATATGAAGTAGGCAGCTTTGTGTTACCACACATTTCAGCTGTGACACTCTGCCTTCCCCCAGTCTATATGAAGTAGGCAGCTTTGTGTTACCACACACTTCAGCTGTGACACTCTGCCTTCCCACAATCTGGAAAACAATGAGCCACCCAACCATGGCCTGATCCCTCTTTCATCCATGACACTGACTACTCACTCACAGGAGCAAGTGTGTTATTCCTGCTGTTTGCTAGTACCTTGTGCTGTGCCCAGGACACAGTGGGCATTCTATAACTACCAACAGAGCCTGCAGTGCCATACTACCTAATAGAGCTTTTGAATGAGGCTGATACTCAGGCATTTTGTGATGGTGACAGAAAGCTGATTAACACATGCATTATACAGTAGAATGAGAACTCTGCATCTTATGCTCTGAGCTCAACTGTCCTGTCTCTGCTCTGCTTTGGTTTTGTTTTTGTTTTGTTTTTTGCCTCTAAAAATGTCACCTAACACAACTTACTTTACTGGTGTTTAACTGAACAGACAATGTGTATTCTAGCTTCTCCACTCTCTTTACCAGGTAACTTTTTTGTTTATCTTTAGACCCTTCTTTCATGTTCTTTAAAATCATCACTATCTCCTTGGCTTCCCTGTCCTTTCCACCTAAGATGCCTGTGGAGTATTCATCCTCTGTCCAAACCCTTTGCTTCTCTGCTGCCCTATTTTCAACCACAAACAAACCCTCAAATATGTACAGCCCAAACTCCTTAGCTTGAGTGGTGGACCACAGGTCAGGCTTGGAACTTGGCTGCTCTGCAAACATTTCATGAAAATTTGACCATATGACTTGTAATAGTCCAGCCTGTCTTCAGGAGCTTTTTAAATTCTTCTGAGTTACTAAGGACCCTAGAGACCTATGTCAATCACACACAGTGATATTTGCCTTATTAGAGATAAAAGTTAATAAAAACTTCAGAATTTCCTAATTCAGTTAAAAATAACTATACCTAATATACATTGAATACACAGACTTTTAATGAAAGAAGCTTCAGATTTTCCAAAACACAACAAAGTCTGTGAAAGGACATAGTTTTACATCTTGAATGCATTTAATTGTTCTCCAGTTTCTCACCTGCTTGAAGTTTGTAACTGCTTTGATGACAGGAGAGGCTGTTACCAGGAGAATGTCTTCTGCAGGAAAGTTAACAGCCAGCTGAATTTTAAAAAGAAACAACAGGATAAAAAAAAACTTCAGGTATTACTGAATAAATGATGTCAGTATGGTGATGATGCAGTCTAACTAATAAAACTTCAGTGTTTCACTTGTAAAAAATCTGTTATTCTGAGTTCTGTTCATAAGAGTACATCATTGGTAATGTTAAACTCTTACAGTGCTAAAATAAACAATACATTCATGTTAAAGGTGAACAAAGACCTGAATATGTCAAATCACTACAGCAGTGTCTTTGATTGACTTATTTTGCATACCAGTTTAAAGTTATATAGCTGATTACAAACTGCCTACTTTCATTTATTCTAAAATAATGTTTTTACTTTGTCTTCATTAAGGATAAACTAAACAAGTCTCTGATATTAAACAGAGTCTCAGCATGACTTTTTCCAAACTTTGGCACTCCCTCTCCGGACTGGTGCTTATTTGGGGAAGATAAAGCCATGTTAACATTAGCCTAACAAAATGCAAAGACTTAATGTGCTATTGTTTCAGTATTTCTGCTTTTCTTCCTCACTTTGGAGGGGAAGCCCTTGCTCATCTTGGATTCTGCTTCTCTGCCTGCTGTTCCTCATGGCCCTGTAGCAGGAATCTTAAAAGTTCTTATTAATAAAAACAAATCTGAAGCTAAGTATTGGGGTGAACGCTGGAAGATCAGAAGCAGAACAAGTCACAATTACCTCATCTCGCCAGTTCCTCAGCTGATCCTGTTTCCTCAGACTGGAAGTCTCTGAGTCCTCATCCGAATGGATCTCAGCTGAACTGCTGCTCAAAAGCCTAAAAGCTTAACCAGCCAAATGCTTCTAGTTTCTGGTCCTCATGCCTTATATATCTTTCTGCTTTCTGCCATCACTCCCTGGGATTAAAGGCTCACTTTCTGGGATTAAAGGCGTGAGTCACAATGCTTGGCTGTATCCTTGAACACACAAAGATCCAGGTAGATCTCTGTCTCTGGAATGCTAGGATTAAAGGCTACCACTGCCTAACCTCTATGTTTAATATTGTGGCTGTTCTGTCTCTGACCCCAGATAAGTTTATTAGAGTGCACAATATTTCGGGGAACACAATACCACCACATGGCCCATAAGGCTGAGCACCTTCAAGTAACGTGCTCTTAGGACATGTAAGGGTCCTTTGTCTCAACTTATTTGAACTCCCTATATTTGACAATAGTGTCTCTCTCCATCTTTGTTTACTTTTCACATTCTGCAATCTATCTCTATTTCCATTGCTGGATCAAGTCCTCAAAACTTTATACTACTGAAAACTATCTACAAGTTAGTCTCTAGGGTCATATAGCTGTCACCATTTGCCACTATCCCCAACACCGTAGCAAATCACATTTCAAAAGTACCTGCAGACAGAACACTGTATACATAATAAATAAATCTTAAAAAAAAAAAAAGCTTTCATCTGAACAGTTGTTTCCCCAGCTCAAAATCACTTATTTGCAGATTTTTGTTAAACACTTGGCGTGTCATAAACCCTATACGGCCTGAGCTCTAGCAGTCTTCCTTGCTTCTGTTTTTTACGAGCTTCACACTGTGGAGTTATGCCGTTCTTCTTTCTTTATCTGGTAAACCCTTATTACATTGCCTGGAATAAGAACTCTTGATGGGTAAACAGAAGATGGCTTCCAAAGATTAAAATCTCAAAGTACTTAAATTTCTTCTATATTTGTTGTGACAAAAATGGCTTGTTCCAGCAACAAAATAACCTAGTCCTTTTTGTAATACATGTATGTGAACTTATCTGATTCACTTGTTTACCACAGTCAGAAATTCTACATCTGTATTCCTTTGCTCCAAACTTTTGCTGGAGATGAAATCTTGTCTTGGATGTTCAAGGTATTACGGGAGAATTATTTTATTAAGGACTTGGCACCTATCTTGAAACTGAATTTCATTTGTGAAGGAAATAAGTGGCTGGGTTTTCTGTCCAAATGCCAAGGCCGCTTGCCGGTTTGCGTGCCATTCCGCTCCGAGGAATGGTTAGGCTTTGGCTTCCCAGCTCATCATGCACTGCCCACTCCGCCCGTTGGTCCCGGGCCCCCTCCGTCATCCCCAAGCACATCATCCCGCCCAGCAGCAAGTGGAGGGGCGTGGCAAGGGGCCGGGGGAGCGACCCTCCAAGGGGACCCGCCACGGTCTCCGGACCCCGACCTACGGGGTCCGGAAGGGGCGGAGCCCGCGCCAACAAACCTGCTCGGCACACGTGACGCCGGCGATGCCGCCTCCCACCACCACGAACGTCCCCACCGATCGCGCGGCCTCCATGCTACCCGGCGGCTGGCCTCGGGCGGCTGACCGTGCACTGGTGACCTGCGAACCTTCGTCCACTCGGAAGGGAAGCTGCCCACATAGTCACTTCCGGCGCCTGTTCCATGGACTCTGGACTACGGGTGCCTGGAAGCTTCACACTTAGTCCATTTGAGTATTTACCGAGTCTTTTGCATATGAAAGCTTGGATGTGCCGCAGCCTTTCCCGGGCCCTAAGTCTCTGTTGCCACACCCACATCTTAAACTCTGCGGTAGGAGCTGCCTTCGGGGACCTTCGTGCAACCCTCTCTTCTCATTCTGTAGGTGAAGAATACAAAGCTCCTGGAACAGTCTCGATTGTCTACCTTCACCCAGCAATGGGAGATTTTCATTTGAGGAAACATTGATTCTTCGTGACAATCAAACACTATCGAACTGTTTCATAAGAAGTTAGCCTCCAATTCCCAATTCAGTAAAAATGTGCCATAAAATAGAGTTGCTTGCCACCTCATCAATAAATATTTCAGGTATCAAAAAAAAAGCATTTCGCCGGGCGGTGGTGGCGCACGCCTTTAATCCCAGCACTCGGGAGGCAGAGCCAGGCGGATCTCTGTGAGTTCGAGGCCAGCCTGGGCTACCAAGTGAGTTCCAGGAAAAAGGCGCAAAGCTACACAGAGAAACCCTGTCTCGAAAAACCAAAAAAAAAAAAAAAAAAAAAAAAAAAAAAAAGCATTTCTTAATTTAGCATTGATATAATTTTTTGTTTAGTGTTCATTTGTATGAGGAAAAGCTTTGAGAAAAAGCTGAGTTATTTTCAGGTTTTTCCTCTGTAGTATTCTCTATTACCTTGCTTTTATCTTGTGGTTTCATGGCTTATCTAGCTAGGCGTTTTATTGTAATATTGAGGCATTTCTCAGTTATTTCTCAATAACTGCTAGTTATTGGTGCCCTTTTCTGTATAATAGGAAAACTTGCATGTATGTTTATAGATATTTACTGCTTCTCCTAATACTCACTGTTCTTTATCTACCAAGTTAAATGTACACAGTTCGATTCTAGTTTCTGTTTCTAGTTTAGACGGCCTCCTGGCAAGAAATAGTGTGTTCAGTCCGCTTAGCTCTCACCTCCATCGTTTACGGGAGAACGTTTGCTCCTTTCAGCTTTGAACAACACTTAGCTCCCGGTGCCCGCTGCTTTTTTTCCCTCTCTGAGCACATAGACATATGCTTTCTGCAACTCCTTTTCCTCATTAAGCTGTCGATCCTCGTCAATAACTTTAATAACTTAAAACAGTGTAAGGAGTTGTCTCTATGTAGTCCAAAGACATCTTGTGGTATCCTGAATTTAAACCTACCCCACTTTATTCCATCCCAACTCCACCAGCATCATAAGCTCCTTAATCCTAACCCAGCTATTGTTAAATACAAAGCTATAAAAGCATAAATTATATCAGAACCAAAGTTATATATTGTGAATAGTTCAAAAGATGAGGAAACATCCTTCCAATGTTAGAAAATCAACATTCAGTTTGACAAGTCATAGACAAACATCTTTCTGGCCTACAGGGTTTATGTTTCGCCTCTGTTTTACTCGTCAACACAAGCAGAAATATTAACTAATATTCAAACTGCATTCCTTCATCAGTTGCTATTATACTCTACCTAGAACAAAAGAAAAACAACAGAAAACCAGTGAAGGGATGTTCAAGAATAAATCCTGTTTTGAATTTACAATGAAATAGCAAAAAGTATTGTATTATATATGTATATACACACATACACACATACACACATACATATGTGGTCTTTGTGGGCATTGCACGCACATGATACACAGACACACTTTCAGGAAAAACACACAAAATAAAAATCATTTAAAAAAGATATACTGCTGTGTTGCTAAAGAGAATTAGTCAGTTTTTAAAAAAATTTATTATTTTATGTATATGGATGTTTTGCCTGAATGTATATATGTGTGCCATGTGCATGCAATGGCAGCAGAGGCCAGAACAGGGCATCTGCTTACCCGGGACTGATGTTACAGAAGGTTATGATGTTGATGCTGGGCACAGAATCTGGGTCCCCTGAAGAGCAGTTAGTGTTCTAAACTACTGAGCCATGTCTCCAGACTTTCTCAGTTTTCTTAACAGGTGCATACGCATGTGTGTACTTAGCTGACTACTGAGCTCCAGTGACCGGCCTGTCTCCCCCGACCTCAGCTCAGATTTGGGGGTCTGGGGATCCAAACTTAGGTCCTCATGCTTGCGTGATAAGCACAGTATCAGTGAGCCATCTCTGCAGTGCGTCATTCTCACACCCTTCTGCTCCCGAGGCTCAGGGATCGCTGTGAAGAGAAGTGGGAAAGGCCTAAGAAGCAGACACAGTGAATGACTGTGCCGAATTGTGTTTTGTAGGGCCCTGGCTCCCCATATTTGAGTAAACTGTTTGCCTGCTTGCCGACCTTGACCAAATGTCCTCCCTATGCTAATTCCCTGCCGGTATCCACTCTCCTGAATGCTTAAGGGAAGTTCCTTGTTTGTGTATCCTGCATATTGGGCATTAACAGCTTAGATGCAGGAATGTAGAACGTTCTGTAGCAAACTTCTGCCCTCTGGGGTTCTCCCATTGTGCTGTAAGCCTGTATTTAAGGTTTCCTCCCTCCTTCAATAAACCATTCGGCATTGGGCACTCTGCTGTGGCGAATGACTCACTGTCTTTGTCTCTGTTTTCTCGATCCACAGCCCCTCGCTTGGACATGGTGTAGGGGTGGTGGTAGCTCGGGCGTTATCGCTACAGTGTTTTAGGGACACAACAGAGCAGTTGCACACAGGAACTCACAGAGAATATGACAACATGGAGAGGGAAGGTGGACAGGAAGTACCGCTCCCTAGTGGAGGAATTATCAGTTAATTGATAGCTGTAAGAGTAAAGTTAGCTTTACTCTTACAAAGATACCCCCACAACAGACTGCTGGCAATGGTCGAGAGACAGCCTGAACTGACCTACTCTGGTGATGGGATGGCCAACACCCTAATTGTCGTGCTAGAAACCCCATCCAACTACTGAGGGATCTGGATGCAGAGATCCATGGCTAGGCCCTGGGTGGATCTCTGGGAGTCCAATTAGCGAGAATGAGGAGGGTTTATATGAGCAAGAATTGTTGAGACCAAGGTTGGATAAAGCACAGGGACAAATAGCCAAACGAATGGAAACACATGAACTATGAACCAATGGCTGAGGGGCCCCCAACTAGATTAGGCCCTCTGAATGGGTGAGACAGTTGATTGGCTTGATCTGTTTGGGAGGCATCCAGGCAGTGGGACTGGGTCCTGTGCTCATTGCATGAGTTGGCTGTTTGAAACCTGGGGCCTATGCAGGATCGCTTGGCTTGGCCTGGGGGGAGGGGACTGGACCTACCTGGACTGAGCCTACCAGGTTGATCTCAGTCCGCGGGGGAGGCTTTGCCCTGGAGGAGGTGGGAATGGGGGGTGGGCTGGGGGGAAGGTGAGGGGAGCTGGAGGGGGGAGAACAAGGGAATCCGTGGCTGATATGTAGAACTGAATTGTATTGCAAAATAAAAATAAAAATTAAAAAAAAAAGAGTCAAGTTAGCTTTAATGGTATAGTTCATGGTAAGTCTAACATGATCCAGTAGGTGGCCACACACCTAGGAGCAGATAGAGGGCTCTGATGGGATTAATGAGGTGGGTGGGTCTGGGACCATATAGGGGAAGGGGTGAATATGATCAAAACGTGTAGAATTCTTAAAGAATTATTAAAAATACCTGCTAGAGAACCTCTATGGATACCAAATGCCTGTGGTGCACAGACATTCATGCAGGCGAAATACCCATAGACCTAAAAATGAATACATATTAAAAAATAAAAGTATTGCAGCTCTCGGGAGAGTGGCCCTGTGCCTGGACCACACAGTAGAGTGGCCCTGAAGGTGTAGCTATGGGACATGAGATCAGGGGAGCTGGCCCTGCCCCTGCCCCTTACCATCGCTGCTGCAAGGGGTGAACTTGCCAGGGCAATGCGGGAGAGCTCACCCTGGTGGTGAAGACAAGCAAGAGCAGGCGGGCTGGCCAACTCTGCAACTACCCAGACCCAGAGCCAGGGTTATGGGTTGGCCCACCCCAATTCCACCCTATCTGTGATCTGCTGGAACACACGGTCCTGCAGACCCAAAGCTGCAGGATCTCCACAACACAGGGCAACAACAGGATAACCAAGAGGAGTCTCAGTGAGGGCCCAGCATTGATAGTGTAGCAGAAGCCAGAGGCCTCCGACCAGACCAATGACTCTGCAATGAACATTTGCAAGTAAAAATGTGTGGACAAAAGGGTTTACTGTGTGACTCACTGTGTCACACTAGAGCTTCCACGACGAGATCCCCCTCCCTTTTTTTTTTTCTTTTTTTCTCTCAAATTTTATCTGGGGGTGGGGGCTGCAAGGGCAGAGGGCAGATATAGGGATGGAAAATGAACGGGATCGAGATGCATGATGTAAAAGACACAAAGAATAAATAAAAAGAAAGCTAAAAAAAGAAAAATATATGTGTGAGGGAGAGGAATAACATAACAAAAAATGTATAATAACATTAATATTCCATACTTTATATTACTCTATATGCTAAGTCAAAAATCAATAAAATGAAATTTATGATCTAGAAATGTAAAATAGCAAAAAAGAGGTAGGTAATGGTAAAGATTTTGTAATCAATATTAGGTGTTGGCTTTAATAAGCAGCACTGTTACTCTGCAAGAAAGGTCAGGAAGCTCGACAAGACCCATTATCAGAGCAGAGTTTTATTAGAAGGGAGGGACAGAAGAGAGTGTAGCCAGGCCTGTGGAAGACACTTGCAGAGAGAGGGGGAGGAGAAGAGAGAGCAGAAGAGAGGGGAGGAGGAGGAGGAGAAGAAGAGGAGGGGGAAGGGTCTTTGTCCTGCTTTTTATGGATTCCCCTGCACATGCGCATAAGGGCTTAGAGAGCTACACCACGCATGCACAGATTTCCCTTCCCTCCCCTTCCCTTCCCTCCCCTCCCCTCCCCTCCCCTTCCCTCCCCTCCCCTCCCCTCCCCTCCCTTCCCGTTTCTTTCCTTCTCTCCCTCCCTTCCTCCTTCCTGTCTTTCTTCCTTACTTCATTTTTTTTGACCAGGCTGTCCTGGAAATTGCTATGTAGCCATGGCCGAGGCTGGCTTCTGATTCTCCTCTTCCATCTCTGAAAGTATTGGGTTACACACACAGACCTCAACACCTTAAAATATAGTGCTGGAGATCAGGGCTTTGTACATGCTGAGTGAGTACTATACCCACTGGCTGTATCTCCAGTCCCGAACCTGGCTTTCTCTGAAGATCCATGTTCCCTCTACCCACTTTTTCTTGCAGGAAGCATTTTGAAAGCTACAGTACAGTATCACAGACAGCTACTCACACCTGTACGAGAAAGGCACTGAATGTTTTCCTCACACCAATTTCTCCTTTCCCTTAATAGCCATGTCTGTACCACCCCCTTCCATGCTCTCATAACCACTTATCTGTTTTCTGCTTTTGTAATTCTGCCACACAATATTATGGAAATAGAATCAGGCAATTAAGCAATCTTTTGGAACTGCCCCCTTTCCTCTTCCCTTGATCATTTGGAGATCCCGATTTTGGCATGCATCCATTGTTAAACTCATTTGAGATGGCTTTCTCTGCTGCTCCTTCAGGAGAGGAGTGGATGGTTACCACTCACAGCCAGGGGGATGAAATCAGTCTCACCTGTGGCTACCTTGGTAGCTGGGTGATAGGTTGAGCCTCCTGCTTAGTGCTGGGAGAGGATGCTACTTCCTGGTGGTCCTTTCAGTGGGCGCTGCCTTGGTACTACTGGGAGATGCTAAGGGTCTTCATGCCCCAAGGGTTTTGTTGGCTTGCCTATGAAGACAAAGGAGCAGTGTATTATTGCTGTGCCGCATGGAAGTTCCGTTTTTTCCCGTGACAATACTGTGGGTGGCAGGCAAGCTGGATAATTCTGACTCCTGTTTTTCATTCTGTGATGCCACCACATGGAGAATTATTTTGGGGAAGGGGTAAGGCTGGGATCTTACTCCAGCTCTGTTGATAACAGTGGTCATCCCCATTTCTCTGGTATTTAGCTAGAAAAGAGAGGCAAATGTCTCTAAGTTTCTTGTCTGGCCAGGTTGCCCCACCCCGATCTTCTAGTTAAGGAGAACAAAGATGTTTTTGTTTTCTTTCTTTCTTTCTTTCTTTCTTTTTTTTTTTTTTTTTTTCTGTGCTGAATCTTATTTTTGAGTTCCTGGTTTCTCCAGCAAAACTGGTTATACGAGAGAAAGAAAAACAAAACACAACAAAGGAAATTAGGCCGATTCCAGGGCCTGCCATGTCCCCATCCACTTATCTATTTACCTTCCAGAGACAAAGCACGTCAATGTGATTTTCCTGGACCACAGAGTACTAGTCTTACCTCTTTAAAAGGTCATTTAAAGACATAAAAATTGTCCTTCGCTTACAAGTCACATAAACACAGATTATGAACCAAATGTAGCCCACAGGGTGGTAGTTCACTAACATGCCATCATCTTAGGGTTTCTATTGCTGTGAAGAGACACCATGACCACAGCAACTCTTATAAAAGAAAACAATTAATTCGAGTTGACTTACAGTTTCAGAGGTTTAGTCCATTATTGTCTTGGCAAGAAGCATGGCAGCATGCAGGCAGACATGGTGCTGAAGGAGTTGAGCACCTTGATCTACAGACAGCAGAAGGAGACTGTGTACCACACTGCGCATAGCAGAAGCATAGGAGACCTCAAAGCCCACCCTCAATGACACACTTCCTCCAACAAGGCCACATGTCCTCCAACAAAGCCACACCTTCTAATAGTGCCACTCCCTATGGGGGCCATTTCTTTCAAACCACCATAGCCATCTAGACTAGTATTGCCCTCAGTGGAAACCCTCTCACCCCTTAAAAAGTTTTATGTAAGACTTTTATAATCTGTGTCTGAGGTTTCTATAATCTAAAAATTTTTGTCATCTCATGTTGATAATCTCTTCTGATTCCCACTCAAAAGGTTTTTGCTTTTTCACTGTCTGTGGAGATCATCACTGCACCACACACTATATGGGTAGAGTTTCCTTCTGTCCCTGCTGACAACCAGAACATTGACTTGGAAACTTCCTCTGGAGATTTGTTTCTGTGAAAGAGCTCTTTACTAGCTTCCCTCTGCTGTCCCTGGACTAAGACATTACATCTAAATGCTAGCTAGAATTGCTCTCACTTTAGAGTAACTAGAGGCAGCCTGTGATGAGAGCAGAGCTGAACGATCTTAGAACTGCAAGTCTCTTTTCTTTCCCTCTGTGGACACCCACAGTGTGCAGAAAAGTGTGCTTTCTTGGAAGGAGCTATGTGCCCTGTAGTTTGAGACCTCATCCAATCAGATCTACAACAAAGGTCAATATCTTATTTTTACAAGTTTACCCATTACCTGTACTTTGTAAATATGTGTATTGCCCACACTCACAGTAAGGTCTAAAAGTGTTTCTGCTTTTTTCTCAAATATCTTTTAGTAAACTTGATACTGAAGACCACATGAGAATAGGAAGAAGCAAAGTGCTAGAGAGGCCCACAGAAATCCACAATGATACCCCCACAATAGACTGCTGGCAATGGTCGAGAGACAGCCCGATGGGATGGCCAAACACCCTAATTGTCGTGCTAGAAACCCCATCCAACTACTGAGGGATCTGGATGCAGAGATCCATGGCTAGGCCCCAGGTGGAGCTCCGGGAGTCCAATTAGCGAGAATGAGGAGGGTTTATATGAGCGAGAATTGTTGAGACCAAGGTTGGATAAAGCACAGGGACAAATAGCCAAATGAATGGAAACACATGAACTATGAACCAATGGCTGAGGGGCCCCCAACTAGATTAGGCCCTCTGAATGGGTGAGACAGTTGATTGGCTTGATCTGTTTGGGAGGCATCCAGGCAGTGGGACCGGGTCCTGTGCTCATTGCATGAGTTGGCTGTTTGAAACCTGGGGCCTATGCAGGGTCGCTTGGCTCGGCCTGGGGGGAGGGGACTGGACCTGCCTGGACTGAGTCTACCAGGTTGATCTCAGTCCGTGGGGGAGGCTTTGCCCTGGAGGAGGTGGGAAGAGGGGGTAGGCTGGGGGGAAGGGGAGTGGGGCGGGAGGGGGAGAACAAAGGAATCCGTGGCTGATATGTAGAACTGAATTGTATTGTAAAATAAAATAAAATAAAATTTAAAAACAAATAAATAAAAATAATAATAATATATATTGTGTTTAAACAATAAAATGTATAAAACCAATACATTTTACAATTTTAAAAAAAAGCCTTTGTATTTATTTATAAGCATGTTTCTGTCTATGGATGCAGGTGCCTTTCAAGGCCAGAAGAGGGTGTCAGCTGTCCGGAGCAGATGGAGTTACAGGCAGCTGTGAGCTGTTGAGTGGAAGTGCTGGGACTGAACTCCCATCCTCTGCAGGAACAGCAAGTGCTCTTAACTGCTCAGCTATCTTTACAGCCCCAGCATTTAATTTCTTAAACTTAGATTTCATTTCTTTGTGATATTGGCTGCATCCTCTCTTCTACTTATTTTCTCATTGTGTGTTACTAATGATATGGTTTGTATTTATTTTATCTTGTTTTAAATGAACCTTTTACAGATATTGAACAAATCAAATTATTTTACAAGACTTAAAACAACAACATGAAATCCCTCTCCTTGGACACAACTATTTTCATAGCTTCTTGTGTTATTTCTCCCTTTTTATTGTAAAAAGATAAAAGCTAGATTGGCTTCTGCCCTTTTAAAAAGGTGTCCTTGCTTCTACAGGAGATTGAACTTTCTTAAATCATCCACTGTACAGAACTCATTTTCCCATGTACCAACACATACGAAATGCATATTCCTTTATTCAGGGTTGCTGTTTGAGACAGGACCTTGCTGTGTAGCTCCTGCTGGCCTGGGAACTTGCTATGTAGCCCTGTCTGGCCTGAGAACTTGTTGTGTAGATCTGTCTGGTTTTGAACTTGTGGTGTCCCTCCTGCCTCTATTTCCTGAGTTTTGATATTAGTTAAGAGCCTACACTGGATTTTAGAAAATTTTTTTGATACATCAATGCAATTATAATTCTGAGATCAGCATTCAGTGTTTACATGTATCCCTCCTTTCCCTACCCCCCCAGATATTCTTTTGTTGGCTTACTCCCTCATTTGTGAGGAGTTTTTCAGTGCTGAGTATATACACAAGTCCCTCATTCAAATTCCAGAGGGGTACACACATCTGGCTGCACTGTTGTATGTACTGAGGTCTAGGAAACCACACAGAATCTCAACTCAGAGTAAGAGGCAACCATGCCATCTTACAATCTACTTTGTTTTCTGCCATGGGAAGGATGGTGGCCTTTGATACATGAGTATTCAAAGAGGAGACATTATTTCTGATTTGAAAAAATGAGGGTAGCTGACTGAAACAAAGAAATGGGGAAAACATATTGCTTGTAACCAAATGGCAATTATCAACAGAGATAGTTTCCAGATGACAACCTTCTTTTGTCATTCAGTTTGTCAGAGGATAATGACTTTGTATTTAAAAAAAAAAACAAAACCTCTCAGAATGATGACTACTAGAAAAAACAATGGTGGGCTGGAGAGATGGCTCAGGGGTTAAGAGCACTGGCTGCTCTTCCAGAGGTCCTGAGTTCAATTCCCAGCACCCATATGATGGCTCACAACCATCTATAATGAGATCTGGTGCCTTCTTCTGGTGTACAGGCATACTATATACGTGGTATAAATAAATCTAAAAAAAAGAAAAGAAAAAATAATGGTGTCCTAACTGCTGAGAGCCCTATCCAGGGAGTTACCATGGAGTTTTCTAAACCATTCCTCTGGAAAGCATGGATCAGTAAGTCTTTGGTGTATCTCCCCAAAGTATTCTGAAGATGCACAGGAAACATCAGGTAAGATGGGACTGAAAGAATGTAAGAGTCAGAGGACAGAGGAACTCCACGAAATGCTGTCATCTGTATGTGCCAGGGCTGTTGTACACACAGATTCACAGCAGCTATGGTCTCCTACACAAGATGTGCACAAAATCAAGCCAATTAAAAATTCTAGCATGGACTTGGGAGAGGCTCCAAGGCTTCCACTCCTGTGTAAAGAATATTGGCAGTTGATGGCTTTTGGGGAAGGCAGAGTTACTTTTCTTTAGGAGTGTGGACACTGGCAGGTTCCCCATGCCTCAGTGATGGCAGTCCCCTGACATGTGCATGTGGGCAGCATTAAATAAATATGAAAAGAGGACATGAAGTTGGGAGAGAGATGCAATGGAGGTTCCCAGAGGAGTTGGTGGGAGAAGTGAGGGATAGGTATGATCAAGATATATTGCATGTATTTATTAAACTTTCAAAGAATAAATTACATGATGTTTTTTTCAGTTCTTTGAGAGTTTCTTAGATGTGCTGACTGTATTCACCCCCCCCCCAACTCTTTGCAGGCCCATCTCCCCTTCCCTACCCACACTACTCTTCCTGTTTTGTTTTGATTTGATTTTTCCTTCCCCAAGACCAGTTAAAACTACTTGTTGTTCTAATTTTAATTCTGTAATGCAGTTTTTGGGGTGGAAAGGTACATAAAATTTGTAAAATTTAATGTGGAGCTTCATAGTGTCCATTTTGAATGACAATTCTAATTTATATGTTTATTAAGTTGTATAGAGTTTGGGTCTAGTTAATTTTGGTATGAGATAATTTTACTTATTTACGAGTTTGTATTTTTAAATAATAAAGTTTATTTTAAGAAAGGAGACTAATGTGTGCTGCTCAAATATTCTTGGATGTGTGGTCATCCATTGGAGTGTGGTCAGCTTAACAGGGTCTACAGTCTTAGAGAAAACTGTCTTCTCACAGCAGCTAACAGTTGCCCAATAACTCCATGGCTGGAAGTGGGATTTGATGGCAAACTCTACTCCCCATGCTGGAATTCGGTCTGGATTGGACTTGCACAGGCTTTGCGCATGCTGCTGCCATCACTGTGAGTTCCTGTGTGTGACTGTCCTCCTGAAGGTGGGAGGTGCCACTTCCTTGTGATCATCCGCTGTCTCTGGCTCTCACACTTTTCCCACCACTTCTGCAATGACCCTGGAGCCCTGGTCAGGGAGGCTGCAGTATATATGTTCCCTTTAGAGCTGAGCATTCTGCAGTCTCTTTTGTTCTCTGCAACTTGGTTAGTTGTGGGTCTCTGTGCTAACCACCATCTGCGCTACTGCAAAGAGAAGCTTCTCAGGTGAGGGATGAAAGATGCATTTATCTATGGGTACAATGATAAGTCCTTAGGAGCTGGATTAATACTATGTCCATTTGGCAGCATGGTTCTCCCCTAGGGTCTATGACCTGTCTAGCCATAGATTCTTAGCCCAGAAATGAAATCAGGTCTGGGTTTCATCTTGCAGAGGGTACCTTAAATCCAATCAGAAAGTGGCTGGTTACTCCCATGATATCACGCCACCGTTGTACCAGTGGGCACATCTTGCCAGGCCAGACAATATTGTAATTCACAGGGTTCACAGCTTGGTGCAGTTGGTGATTATTTGTTTCTCCCAGTAGCACTACGAAAGATAAAATGGTTACAAATGGGAAAGTGAGAATTCAAATGATATTTCTTTGCATATATGATTCTATATGTGAAAAACCCTAAAGATGCCATTAGAAAACCCCTACATGTGGTGATGTTTTATTTGTGCTGAAATGTGGTGATATTTTATTTGTATGTTAATAAATAAAGTTTGTGTGGAGATCGAAGGACATAGATAGCCATCCATAATCAAAAGTCAGGCGGTGGTAGCACTCGCCCTTAATCTGATCACATGGTAGGCAGAGTCTCTGTGTATTCAAGGACACAGCCAAGCGTGGTGACACACGCCTTTAATCCCAGTACCAACCATAGAGACCTGGAGGTCTGTACAAACAGGCAGTGATGAGGAAGTGAGGTGGCTGGGCTAAGAGTCAATGAGAAGGCAGAACAGCAAGGCAATAAAGGCACAGGTTAGACAGGAGGAAGCTGGTTCGGTTCTCTCTGTGGAAGCTACAGCGACGTGGTGAGTAAGGTTAGCTGGTGGCTATCACTATTTCTCTGATCTCTACGGCTTTCATCCCTGTATTTGGCTCTGTGTTTCTTATTTAATAAGACTGTTTAGAAATTCGTCTGTACCTACAGCCAATAAAAATAACATTTTTTGAAAAAGCCAAATATAGGAAAAAATCTAAAGCAAAACCATAAGACTTTAATCAGGTCATTTTCCTGCTTCATAGTCTAGGAACTTATTTGATATGGCCCAGTGCTTACTGCTCTCATTTCTTGTCTCTTGGCTTCTCGGTGAGTCACCTCTCTCCGTCAACAGTGCCTTTCTTGTCAGCCTTGTGTGCTTGTTTCCTTCTTCCTCGAGCTTCTGCACTATCAGCTCCACACACTTGGAAGGCTCTGTCTCTGGATGTCTAAATGCTGGAGCTCTTGCACTCATCTCAGTCCAAGCATTGTTTCCTTACACACCTTCCCAAACCACCACACTGTGTGGGCTCCTTGCCACTCAGTCCCGTCACTTTGATATTTTTCGTAACACTTGTGCCTTTCACAGGCCATTTTGTTAAACCCTTACACCAAATCATCGGGGGAAACATTGTCAGAAGCTGAAGTGGGGAAGGAAGACAGGAGGAGGAAGGAATCGGGCAGTCATGAGAGACCTACTTTTTTGGACAGAGGTAATTTCGTTAGAGTTTCTTTTGAAGAGAGGTGGCATATATGAATGCATGACCCGCCATAACTTTTTCCTGAGTATGGTCCTCCAAGGTTTTGACAGTTTATTAAAATTGTAACAAGAGAAGGAAAGAGCACACGCAGTTCTCTGCAAAATTATCTGAAGGCATCCATCTACCCTTTTGCTATTGTGTTCGCTGTTTGTCAGTTACCCAGAAGGAGTGCAGTGTAGACTCCTGAAACCAAACCAAACACTCACCATGTGCTTACCAGGCGTGTGATCTCGGGGCCATCAGGGCCTGTTTATACTCAATCTTCCTCTGCAGAGGTGGGATCATGACAGTAGCCAATTCCTGTTAGTGAGAGGATTAAACATGAGGTTTGCACACATGGGCTCCTAGTCCGGGTGAGCACAGAAGCACTCAGGAAATGTTAACTTTCTTACCAGAGAAGAGAAAACCATCCAGCCTGTGGAGAGGGGTGAAAGGTAGGAACTTCAAGTCTACCCCGGGTGAGGTGACTGGAGAGATCAACCAGCCTCCCACGCTGGAAGCAGTGCCCAGCTCCACCCGTGGAGCTTGCTGCTCTTCAGGCATTTGGGGAGTCTGCTTTTCTGGGAACGATGGAAGAACTGAAATGATGAGAAATCTCAACAGCAGCAGCTGATGCGTGGGGCTGGTGACATCGGAGACCAAAGGAGACTCGAAACATGTTCCAGCTGATTTGGTTAAGTGTCCTATGGAAGACACTTGTTCAACTATGTTCATAGCAGCTTTATTCATAATAGCAAGAACCTGGAAACAACAAAGATGTCCCTCAACCAAAAATATAAATACATTTACACAATGGAGTATTACTCAGCTATTAAAAAAAGAACATCAGGAAATTTGAAGGCAAATGGATCGAACTAGAAAAAAATATCCTTAGTGAGGTAACCCAGACAGAGAAAGACAAACATGATATGCACTCACTTATAAGTGGATATTAGCTGTAAAATAAAGGACAGCTGTGCTACAATCCACAGACTCAGAGAGACTAGGTAACAAGGAAGTTTCATGGGGGGACTCCCAGATCTCCCTGGGAAGAGGAAATAGAAGAGATTTCATGAGTGAACTGAGGGCCAGTGGGGATGGGAACATGAGCAGTTAGGTTTAGGGGCTGTGGGGATGAAGGGGGAGAGTACTGAAAGAGACTTACTGGAAAGGGAGGTGCATTTCAGGACCAGGTGAAAACTTGGTGCAAGTGAATCGCCCAGGAATGTACAAGGATGACCCCAGCTAAGACTCCTAGCAATAGTAGATATGGAGCCTGAACTGGCCATCTCCTGTGACCAGATTGGTGCCTAGCCCAATTGTCATCAGAGAGGCTTCAACCAGCAGGTGATGGAGACAGATGCAGACCCACAGTCAAACATTAGGCAGAGTCCAGTGAATCCTGCAGAAGAGGGGGGGAAAGGATTGTCGGAGCCAGAGAGGTCAAGGACACCACAAGAAAACCCACAGAATCAGCAAAGCTGGGCTCATGGGGGCTCACAGAGACTGAACTGACAACCAAGGAGCCTGCATGACCTAGGCACTCTGCATATATGTTATAGTTGTGTAGGATCAAAATTTGGACCACAGCACTCACATAACAAGCCATTGTCCCAGAGACTTCTGCAATTCCAGGTCTGATGCAGGCAGAGACAGATCATAGGGGCTTGCAGGCTTCCAGCTGAGCCCAGAAATATGAACTCCAGGTTCAGAGAGAGCTGCTGCTTCAAAGGGATGGGTGGAAAGTAGCAGAGGAGTACACAGTGCTCTCTTATGGCCAGTACACACGCATAAGCATGCATCCCTCCTCACTAGCATGTGCATTCACACACACATACACACACGCACACACCACACACATATACAATACACACATATATACACACCACACACTACACACTACACACACCACACCACATACACACCACACACACACACACACACCACATATACACACTACACACACATACCACACCACACATACTACACCACACACATACATACACACACACACCACACAACCACACACACACATAATACAAACACATACATAAACACCACGCAAACACACACAGCACACTGTAGCTGGGTGAAGAGAGGAAATGAGATGACAGAACAGAAAGGCATATAAGCGTGGGTATACAGGAAGTAGGTCTCTTTGGCTGAGGATCTCCAAGTGGTAAGAATGTGGCTTCTTGCTACTTTTCTGATATCTCAGGTTTTAACCCCAATATCTGGCTCTGGGTTTTTCTATTAATTCAACCTTTTAAGATTCATCTTACAGCACACAGCCACACATACCACACAAGCATACACACAACACACACACACAGCACACACACACAGCACACACACACACACACACACACACACACACACACACACACACCATACACCACACTTACACACACACACACACACACACACACACACACACACACACACACACACATACATACACATACCATACAAATGCACAAATCTTAAAAAGAAATTAAAAACACAGGCTAATGACCTAGTCTCAAGTTACAAGTAGTCACTATTAGAGCTGGGATGTGTCAAAGCCTTTGCATGATGTCACATTTCTCACCTTAAGATAGCAATCCACTATCATTTTCATTCTGTCGTAGATTTCCCTGGGGTGTGACTATCTTGTGGCCTGACACAGACTATCTCAATCTAGCTAGAGAAATCACTGGTCCACTAATCTGTGAGCGCTGGTTCTCTCAAGACAATCTGGTGTTCACAAGCATCAGCAGCATCCTGGGAAACGAGCCTATGCCTTCCACTCAGCCCTTCCATTTCTTCCTGTTAAGCTTGTCTGAGCTCCTCCGCTACCCTGAAATGGAACATTTGTTTGAGGCACATCTTTTCATTGTTTTAAAAATATTTTCTTTACTCATGTCAATGTATGACACATGTGCTGGCTTCCAAAGAGTCTACAAGAGGACATCAGATCTCCTGGAGGTGGGGTCACAGGAGGTTGTGAGCTGCCAAGTGGGTGCTGGCAACTCGGAGCCTCTGAAAGAGCAACAAGTACACTTCCCTGCTAAGAGAATGAAATTGAGGACATGATTGCTCCTAGGTACGGTTGAGGAGAAGGTTCTATTGTAGATATGAGGGAGAGAACAGACAGAGGCATCTGGAAGGATCCAGGCTGAACTGGGCCGTGTAAGGGGAGGTTAGTGAGAGGAAGAAAAGAGAGAGGAGAGAGGGGACTAAGAGAGGAGGAAGAGAGGAGCTGCAAGGACCGACAGGCCAAAAGCAAAGAGACCAAGAGGGCACACAGCCAAAAAAGCTGAGTTAGACAGGGGTCACAGACGCTGGGGGATGGAGAGTGAAACCCAGTCCCTGGTTGGAGAGGTTTAAATTAGAGTTGGGAAGTGTTGGGAGGAACCACAGGTACTGAGTGAGACTTTGTCTCAGTTTTCTTTCTTTCTTTCTTTCTTTCTTTCTTTCTTTCTTTCTTTCTTTCTTTCTTTCTTTCTTTCTTTCTTTCTTTCTTTTCCTTCTTTTTTTTTTTTTTCGAGACAGGGTTTCTCTGTGTAGCTTTGCTCCTTTCCTGGAACTCACTCTGTAGCCCAGGCAGGCCTTGAACTCACAGAGATCCACCTGGCTCTGTCTCCTCAGTGTTGGGATTAAAAGCGTGCGCCACCACTGCCCGGCTTGTCTCAGGTTTCTTTGGGGATCTGTCACTAAGCATCTCTTCACTATCTTCGTTTCCTTCTTTTCGTATGTTTGTTGTACATTTGTGTGTGCCTGTCCCTGTCCATGGGAGTGCGGGTATGTGTGCTTGTGCAGGCCCGAGGTCAGTTTA